TGCTTAATGCCCACATGTGTTTTTATCAAGTTACCATCCATTACATGAAATAAAGCAACATTACTTTTGATTTTAACCGAAGAGTGACTTGGGAGGAACGGCATTCATGATTAATGAGACACTGATTATGCAAGATACCAAATATCATTCACATCAGAGGCACCTGGGCCTATTGAGTTTCACCATATTAATAATACAGAAATGCTGCAATCCACTGAAATGATCAGAAGAAAATCAGACAAATTCAATATAAAACATAAGTATTTACTTGTCAGTACGATAAAATATGCCTAGAGAGCTGATCCGATATTACTGGTCATTTTCAAATTAAGCACTACTGCATGCTTGAAACAAGACGAACATACAGATTTAATTTCCAGAATATGTTAACAGTTTCGAACTGTGGGTTACCATCGGGGAATTTTGCAGTTTCATGTAGTAACATGGAAGGCATATAAAGTTTTAGTCATTGAGCAGAAAGGAGAATCTGCCATTAATTACTGTAATTATTACACCAGGTTAAAAAGGGCATACATAACAAAATGATTATGAGCAGTATATGGCAAATTTTCCGTTAACAAAATCACCATATTTTCCTTACCCATATCCGCGCTGGACCTTATAATCATCACATTTTTGTAAGATTAACCAGTGAAGGTGGTGCAGAATTTGTGTGGAAGCTTTTGCAACATCTTATTGCTTTAATGTTGTAGAAACATTTTATTTGTTTTAAATGAAACACAGGATTTGCCTGTGGTTGGCTTTGTCTGTCTTATCCTTGATTGCAACAAAATTTCCAGCACTTCTTGAAGAAGAAACACCCCAGAGAATCATGCACGATGGTTAAAGATAATGTTACTGGGTTGGACGGATAGCAATGATCGCCCGCCCCCCCCCACCCCACCCCCTAAACACACATGATACTCCCACAATATTGTTTGGGACCAAATCAGCCGCAGACCCCCACCCCCCTACTGTTACTCCACAATATAGGCAGCCAGTCCCAACCATCACACCCAAATCTACAGCCTTTCTAAAGTCGAGTTCTTCTCAGTATTTTCTTCTGTGTAGTGTTGATCCCAATGAAAATACTAGCAGTAAAAATACTACTAATAGTTTTTTTTTCTTTCTTTTCATAATACTGCTGTTTGACTCTTTGTCCCATTTGGTTGCTCAGTTATGTCAGGTATTCAGTGTCAATTTTGTAGAATAGATATTTAAATTTTTATTACATTTTTATTAATTAAATTCAGGTGGATTTCAAATCAATATCTTCATATGTTCATATTTCATTCACATTTTACTGTGATCTGTCATGAAAATTAAATAAATCTGGTCCAGGTTTTAATTATGTAACTTTCACATTTTTATTCTTTAACATAGTTCTATGTCACCTTTTGTCTGCTTTGAAATCCTACATTAACATGTGGGAGAATGATTGTTTTTTTCTCTCTCTCCTGGGGTAAGAGATCAAAAATAATTTCCTTCTGTTCATGTCTGCATAAATGTATTAAAGAATAAATGAGTGAATAAATTAATCTGCACAATGTATTTGACATAAATCCATCTATCCATCCACCCATCCATCTGGCCAACTTCCATAACTGGTAATGCGTCGTAGCGAGCGTGGTGTATATCCTACAACGCGTAGGACTCTAGGTAAGGGATACCCAGCCAGTCACAGGGAACACACTCACACACGCATACAGACACTCACACACACCACCACATACTATGTCCAAGTACCCAGTAACCACATCGGGAGAACGTGCAAACTACACGCACACACATACACACACACACAGGTTTGTAATTATATCTTTGTGGGGACTCTCCATTCATTTGTAATGTGAAAACTCCAGTCACAACATGACGACCTTAACCCCTACCCAGCCCTAACCTTAACCATAATTAACCAAACTAAATATGAGACTTTTGACATTTTTAGTTTTTTGATTGCATTCAAAAATCTTTGTTGGGACTTAAAAAATGGTCCCCATAATGTCAAAATAAGTTTTTTTTATCACATTCTGGGGAGCATTTGGTCCCCACAATGTAATATAAACATAATCCACAGACACACGCAACCAATGTAGGAATCAAAACCACAACCACAGAGGTTCTTGGCCACAGTTCTCCCCAATAAACCACTTGTCCTTAATATATAATCGAATTGTACCATGTACATAACCGGTTTTTCTTTAAACATAATTGTTAAGAGTATGTGATGGCATTTGGGAAAATACATCTGGACATTGGAGCTGCATTTATCACAATCAAAGCCACGTTTCATACTAGACCAGTTTGAAATGCATTTGTTTCCTTGTTACTCTTGTCTTCACTCACTATGTTCCCCACATTCTTCTGTTAATAGAGTGAGAATATGTCATTTTATTTCATTTGCCTAAGGTAGGGAAACAAGCCCACATGGTAATTTATCCATCTTCTGAGCACTTATCCTGGTCTAGGTCACCTGGAGCCTGTCCCAGGCAGCACTGGGCACGAGGCTGGGGTACGCCATGGATTGTATGCCAGCACATTGCAGAGCACATATACAGAGGCGCCAATTACCCTAACTGCATGTCTTTGGGTAGTGGGACAAAGACCAAAGTACCTGGTGAAAACCCGGATGACACGGGGCAGCCACGGACACTCACACATACACAAGCAGAGTGTAAGTGGGAATTAAACCCCCAACCCTGGACATGTGAGACATTAGTGTTCCCCCCTGAGCCAGCTTGTGGCCCTCACTGTAATTCCACTGTGGTAATCTCTGGACAGCTGGGTATGTGCTGTTTCAATCTATCTCCTTTCAGTTCCATATTCATTTACAGTTACCTGTATTTTCATGCATGTGGCTGCCAATGTCTGCTTTCTTATTGATTTAACTAATTCATAAAAATGTTTTGTGTAACAGCCTTAGTACAGATGACCAATGTGAGTAAACATAAAAATAACAAGGAATCCCAAATGGCTATCCAGTAATAACATATCTCTAAAATTACATATGTTGCTTTTGGACATTTGGACAAATGAGAATAATCCCAATAATATGCAGCACAGGATAAAGTAGATTAGCTATAGATGTGATCATGTAAACCGATCACGCCTTTCGACAGACTGGTAAATGACATGTTGTGGACTTAATTTTGATTTTATAATTGATTACCCCCCACCCCCATGCAGACTCCATACACAGAGCATGAGGGTGAGAGATGATCCCCCAACCCCCACCCCAGGACCATCCACTGGGTTCACAGTCAACCAATAATCAAGGAAACTGTCAAAATTTGATGGCTTCACTGGAGAGGAAAATGCAGTGTTAAAGTACAAAAACATTTTTTATATCCCCATTTTTTTCATCAGTGACTTATATATTGTCATATATACTGCCTTACAAATAAGTGACTTTAAATTTAAATTGTTTTGCATATTTCACATATTCAACTTTTTATAAGTCCTGAAAATGTAAAACACCTGTTTTTGTATTGCAATTTTTCTCAAATTTCTTTTACAAATAGATTTAATGATACGCTTTGATGATAACCCAAGCCAGTATTCACCACTCTGAAACCCTGTCCTACCTTCACGTAGAGAACAAGATAAGCTTGTCATAAAATTACTTGTTTAGCCCATACTCACAGGAGTACAAGCATTACTATAGTACAAGAGGTACCCAACTGAATTAGTAAACATAAATGTTTCTGAATGTAATTTATTCAATACAAAAACAAATGACAAACGAATAACAAAAGAACTAAATAGATGCGTAAACTAACAAACAAATAAATGGGGGGTTATTGACATCATTGATGTACTGACATAAACTAAATACACATAACATTGATATAGAGGAAAATAAACATTAAATTAGTCAAATTAATCAAACTTGACCACCTTATAATAAACATTTCTTAGAGTAAGAGGCATTCATTTAAGAGCATGGGTTGCTATTATGCACATAATTAACTTATGGCAACAGTTGTTATTAGTATAAACACTGAAAACCACAATAAACATGTAGCCTTTAGCGAGCTAATGTTAGAAGATTAGCAAACTTATGATAGAAGTTTACATTAGCAATCTTGTAAAATAGGTTAATCACTAAAGGAAAAAATCTAGAGCTGTTAAACATACGGGGCAATTGAGAAGACATATTTGGTTTTGATTTTAGCAACCAGATGACAACATATTAAATTGGTTGACATGAGCTAGTTGTGAAGAAACTTACATCCTTAGAGCGAAGAACAAGAAAAGAAATATCTTCCCGTTCCATTTTGTAGGTATGCATGTGGATATTCATTTACACATGTATATATGTATGTGTGCCGTGCATAGTTTCATGAATTTTGCTCATTTACAATTTCAATTAGGCATTTCAATTAGGCATGAACACTAACCACACAATGTTTAATCTTGTACTAATGAAATAGTGCTGAACCCCTGATCTCATAAGTATTTAAGTGTCAATGGCTTTCTGTATTATTAAAAGTGGACCTTACTGTTACACAGAAACAAGTTTGCTTATTGGCTATTTTATTTATGTTATAAATTCTGAGACATCCATATTTTCAATACAAAAGATTGGATTTGTGATCATTGACCATATCTGAGTAACAACCATGCAAAATCATATATCCGTAAAAAGCAGTTTACAATCACGTTTCTCTTTTTTCTTAATTTTGTGGAAAAATAACATTTTATGGCTTTTTGGAAAAATTCCTTATTCTGATTTTAATAAGATACATTCCAGAAAGCATTGTTTTATATTTCATAAGTAATCTCTGAGTATACAGCAATATTCAAGTAATACCTGAAGGGTAAATTATTGGATAAATAACAACTCATAGAAATATGTCCATTTTTATGTTTTATTTTTGTCTCAATTAACATTAGATAAGAATATTATAATTTTTTAGTTTATCTTAAAAAAGCAAATTTAATCAAGAAAACAACAGAAATTTTAGAAATAATGAAAAAAAAAGCAAAACATAGCTGATTTAAGTATATTATACATTCGTCTATTCATTGGTATTGAACCTGAAAAATCACTTTGACTAATTTTACAATGCTCTGCTTTTCTAAACTCTATCAAAAAATTGTGAAGAGGACAATATATAAAAAGGACTGAACAAAAATGTATGCTTTATATTGCACATGGGGTTTCATGTCCTTTTGAACTTGTTATGTTTCTTAATCTCAGCATTTCTTTATTATTGTTACTTCTTTCCAAATGAGGATGACCTTCATATACACAGTGCCACAAGTTTCCATTGAAACAGTCATTTAATCCATCATTTAATGCAAAATCAATTCATTGTGTATTAATGTGAAATCCAAAAAAATAATAATAACCAACTTGTTAAAGGTATGATATACATCATTCTTAACTTGTACAACAGAATTAAAGGTGAATTATATATAAGATGAATTAAATTATGAATACAAATGATATATAACATTCTTCTAATGTGGAGCCATTTTAAGAGAAAAATCAAGAACCACAACAGAAATTTTCAAGTCTGGTTAGTAGAGCAATTAAATTTTTTGACAGTTATAACAAGGATTCTGAATATACAATAATATTTACCTTTATATTACCAAGTCTATGAATAACCTCTATAGAAAAATATGAAGTTGAATGTACAATGGACTGACAATGGCAATTTTTTCTCCATTTTTTGACCAGTGTTTTCTTGTTCTGAGTGTGAATTTTTACAAACTATTTCACATATACAAATACTGTTGAATTACAAAATAAATCCAAGTATGCTTACATAGCAAGCAACATCATTCTGGCCGTCAGAGCCTTGAAGATTGTATAATGTTCAAATATTTAAAGAGAAACCATGTTAATTACAACAAAACTAACATGATTCTTCACATAAATATATAAATGATTATTCAAATTAAAACAAACAGATCTACTGGTATTCAGTTTATACAAGTGTTTCAGTTTCTGCGAATAGAGAATTTGCACAAACTCCAGCAATGACAAGCTATTACCAACTGTACAGCAGATGCCGAATATTCAGGTGTAAAAAGATTCTTTTTCGGGGCGAACATGAGGTACAGTCATTACAACAATAATCCGGTTTGAAAAGAAATTCCAAGTTCAGTAGCAGCGATTCGTTTTTTTAAGCAGTGTGTGAAAGCTTAAATCTCAAAGAACAAGATGCATGACGTTCATTTTACAGTGCCATCAGCTAGTTTAGAAAAAGCTGCATTTACTATACAGCAACATCGAAGTTTAAGAAAGTCCAGATTACAGTATGTGGCTATGGCATGTTTTCTATAGAATAATTATGTTAATGACATGTTTTGAGAATAAATGTAAATTTTATTTTTGAGAAGGCACTTTTGTCATGGGAAAAAAAATGCGTGGTCTACATTCTGCTAAGAGCGGTGTGCTCTTCTAGCACTTGAAGGTAGTCAGGTGTACCATGTAGCTTTGATTTAAGTTCGAAGAAGTCACTTTTTCGCTGGTCAGCTATCAGCTTACTGTGGGAGCCCCCAATTAGAGATTTTTTTTTATCTTGTGGCTTCTCAGGATATCTGACCTCAAAGCCACTCATCCCTAAGCTGTTATTCAAAAAGTCCTGAAAGAAGATATTGGATTCTGTTCCTGGTAGGTATTTGTCCATATCATCAATGGTGCTTAGTGCTGTCTGTCTGGGGTCCAATATATCCATATCATCATCAGCAGGATTTCTGTAAAACAGTCTTTGAGAGTCAGCATATGTTAAATCAGAGTCCCTTAGTCCACAAGTATGACTTGAGCCTATGTTTTCATAGGTTTGGGGGATAAAGGTTTCCTCGCCAAGGTGATCCTTCTTATTCGATTTGTGGTCTTGTTTTCTAAGCTGCAGTTGTATGGAGCCACATTCCTGGTTCCCAAACCCTTCATGCCCTCTGGCAGGTTTCTTTGCACATTTCAGCACGAAGAGGAAAAGGCAAAATGCAAGAAAGACTGTGAGTATCAGTACCACTAGGATACTCAGGATCATGATGGAAAAGGGGACTGGTCCGCCAGGAGACGCCCTGCCTACAGGGGGGGTGGAGGTAAGAACCGGGTCAATCAAAATCATGGGCGGCTTCCCAATAAGTCTGGGGCATAAAATTTCGTTTTTTAACAACCGGAGTTCTATGTTAGAAAACTGCACAGGGGAAACACACTTTACATCTTTAGCAGTTACACCCTCCTTCAGCTTCTCCAACCACAGTTTCAAAGCTACTAAATCACAAGTACAATCCCAGGGATTACCTTCCAAGTCAATCTGAGTGATAGATGCGAGCTGGTCTAGAACACCACTCACGGGAAGATAGCGGAAATGATTATTCTTTAGGTTCAGTCTGGTCAGAGGAACCCTAGCAAATATATAAGCTGGCAGACTTCTCAGTACGTTATTGTTCAAATAGAGGAGCTGTAGGTTTGGCATGGGGTCAAACGTCCCCGCAAAAATTTCTTTAATAGAATTGTATTCTAAGTACAAATACTGAAGATTAGACAATCCAAAGAACATTTCGGGATAGAGATAGTCTAACTGATTCCCATTTAAATAGAGCCTACGGAGACTGGTCAGATTAGCAAACACTCCTTTCTGAACTGTAACTATTTGATTGCTACCCAAATGTAATAAATCCAATCCTTCAACCCCTTGAAAATCAGTGGGAGTTATAACTCTAAGGTAATTACCACTAAGGTGCAATTTCTTCGCATTAGGGGGCATGGGTGTCAGATCTGCTAGATTTTCTATATTCCTTTCCTGACAGCTGACACTAATGCCAAAGTCAGAGGGGTGAGCTTTACAGGTACAGGGGGGGGGACAGGGTGACACTGGTGGAATTCGAGTTTGAAATGTCAAAATTTGGCTGAGATTCTGAGTCCCGGGGAAGGTATTTCCAATAAAGAAGCCTGATATTTTGGAAGGGTGTGTTGCTTTGGGCGCTTTGGTAAACAGGGGCGGTATCATCGTTGGTTCAACATTCATTTGCCCATTTACTGGCTGAGAAGGAGGCATCTGGACTTCAAAGTCACTGCCTGTTCCCAGTGGACATAGTTCCTGTTTGGTGGTTTCTTTGAGGAGCCTCCCATACAGGTCACTGGGATCTTCGCATATAGCTTCACCAATATAGATATTATAGGGCATATTCTCCAGCCAGGCTTTCAGAGGTAACAGATCACAGGTGCAATTCCACGGGTTATCATCCAGCTGCAGTTCTACAATTCTTCCAATGTGCTCCAATAGTCCAATGTAAGGTAAGGTCTGTATCCTGTTGCCCCTTATATCCAGATGTGTAAGTGATGCAAAGCGAAAAATATTATCAGGAAGGCTTTGAATAAGATTGTCGTTCAGGATGACCACCTTTAGCTTATGCAGTTTATTGAAGGCCCCTCGCTCAATTAGCTTGATTAAATTGTAGTCAGCTTGGATGTATTCCAAGTTCTCAATACCTAAGAAAGTGTCAGCACGAAGCTCCTTTAATTCATTGTTGTTTAAGTGCAACTGTTTTAATGCACCAAGTCCGAGAAAGGCCCCTCCCTCGATGCTTTGCAGTTCGTTATTTCCCAAATGGAGCGACACCGCATGTGTAAAATTGAGAAAAGAATTGGGGTACAGGATAACCAATAGATTATTCTGAAAATTAAGATGATAGAGGCTGGACGAAGGTGGCTTCAGCTGGGTGGGTCTGTACATACCAATGTTCTCACAGTTCACATAAAGGACGTTCTCGATGGACATGCAGGAGCACGCGCTGCAGGTCTCCGCTGAGCGCTCGGAATCCGAGTTACAAAACGAACTCGGCATGAAGAAAAACGGGAAAACAAGTAGCAGCATTTTGCTTTTTAGAAAGATCCCAGTACGTATAGCATTTATTAACCTTTGGAGGGGAAAAATAAATAATCATCAAATCTCCCACATTTCAGTTACTTACAATTGCAGTTTCAATTATGTTATAATGTGCAAATAATCTAAGTGGAAAAAAAACTGCAAATTTATGTTTAGAATGCTATAAAATATTCCGTCGATAACAGCGTAACGCCAGCAATGATAATACTTCAAGTATTGCCCCTAGTAATATCACTACTGAGAATAACGTCAATAATAACTATGAACTGTGAGCGACGTGTGGTCAAATTTGTGGCACACATATATGCAACATATATACATATACAGCAATACATCTGTATGTATATTGGTATGGAGCCATAGAGCCCATATGTCGTAAACAGTCGGATGTCACGCCACACACACACACACACACACATATATATATATATATATATATATATATATATATATATATATATATATATATATAATCGATTGACATAGTTTTTGGCAGTTTTCGTTGAAAATGACAACAAGGAAATTGCCTTACCTAAAGCGACGGATTCCTTTTCAGAAAAAAACATCAGAATTGTCAGGCTACTGTATGATAAAGCAGTATTCCCACTGATATCGCTTAGATGAATCTTACGTTTTCATTTTATCCCTCGAGTCCCCTAGGCATGATCCACTCGTTTTTAATGCGAAATCATCTCACAATATCCGTCCTAAAGACCACAAAAAAGGTGTATTAATTTTAATTTGTTTTACGATGCAACATCAGTTTTACAAAATAAGCTCCAGCAACAAGCCAAACAGCGTCTCCGGAAAGATGCGCGGGTGCCTAGACAACTCCGACGTTCTTCAGTACGAGAAAGAAAATGTAAATGAAGCTGCTTCTCTCTACAGTCCTTTACAAAGGATAATCCCGAAGCTCAGTTTAAAAACAGATTTCAACAAAATGACGCATATTTCAACCGCACGGAAACAATGTTGCTAATATTGTTCACCTGTTAAAATCTCATACTGTCGGCGGCTCTTCCCTAGTTATGCAGTTGGTAGGGTTGCCAGAGTTTGACAAAAAAAAAGGAAAAAAAAAACGTGCTGTGCAATACAAAAAAAAGAGAGAGAGGGGTGCGGTAATACAGCCGATGACCAATCCGACCGCGGAGTTTCCTTAGTACATGTATTTGAATATTTAAAAACGGATATTGGTTATGCATTAAACGTATATGCGCTGCTAGATTCTGTGTACCTTTCTGTCCAATATTTCTGTGGTGCAGGTTTTTCCTCAAACCACGATAATTGATTGGTATGATATCTGATTTACTCTGTCATTTTATACCCCATATGTAAGGTCATTATGTTTAATTTAATGCTTATTATTATTATTATTATTATTTATTATAGTGATCTCTCACTACATCTGATGATAAATCGAAAGAGCAGAGATGGTTTCTGCTTCAATAGCGCAAAATGAAGGAAAACTTCAAGGGACTACCTAAATATGGTACATATTAAATGCATTTAATTATTTTCATGGTTGGCTTGATGTCGTAACTGAGCCATATAAGTGAAAGACTATAATTATCTCAAAATAGATGGAAATGACATTTTTGGAACATATTCATTAAACTGAGAAGCATTTCATATGCTAACTAATGGCAGTCAGTCCCACAGATATACCAATATGGCTGTTCTTCATGACTCTACTTTACTTTTCCTCACCAGAAATGAATAGGTGGTAGTTGCAGCTCCGATACATCGGCAGACAAAGACAAACTCACAGAGCGAAATACACAAAATTAGATCTAGAGACACAAGGCCTCGGGTTTGAAAGGCTATTGGCATAACAAAGCATACTCAGAGCAAGATCGCTGCCAAGCAAAGAGGAAAGAATGTGTGAAGTGTAAGCATGTAGCCAGGGTGTACAGATCCTTTATTGTGGGAGAAGAAAGGGCAGAGAATACAGCAGTTAGGGCTCAGATGTTTACTGATTCAGTGACGTGGCAAATTCAGCAATTTGATACAAAGTTACGCCAAAGTGGACATGCAGCAAAAATACATTTAAATGAAGTTAGGAGTTCAGGATAAAGGCATTGCAATGTATGAACATAATAGCTAAACACAAGAAACACCACATGTCTTAAGGTCATGGCTAACTGTCCAAGACACATTCATCATAATAAAGGAAAGTACATGCATAGTGATGTTTCCGGTTAGTATATAATTAGGCACATTGATGGCAGATTTTACCATTAAAGCCTGTTCACTTCACCAGTAGTGGAAGACATTGCATGCTTATTCACCGAACTATTTAATGAGTTTATTGGTCGGACATATTGGGTGCACATTCTGGGGATGTTTCTAGTGGAAATAAACAGAAAGGTAAAAAAAAAAAAGAGAGAAAAAAACTATTAAATTCCCAATTGCCTGTTATCAATTAACCATCAAGGCTATTAAAGTTAGCTGCATTACACAATTTCAACATCATGAATATCATATTGGCCTATTGATTTGTCCCAGAGAAGCATTTTTATTATTATTTTGACATACAGTAGCAAAGCCAACAATTTAGGGATAGAAAATTCAATGAAGCCCTACAAATTTACTCAACTTTTTTTTTGTAATGAGATACAATATCTTGATATGATTTATTTAAGGTTCTACATGCCTTTATCCATCCTTTCACCCATCAGTCCAGTGTTTCATGTCATACTTTAAATTGCCAAAGTACTGCCACTTCCCCTTGTTTATCCACACTATCTCCCTTTTTAAAAGACGTTTCGGCTGCTGAGTTGTCCCTTTCTTCACCGACACTGAGGTTGCACTCATCTCCCAAGGGATTCAGGCGTATTACAAAGACAGCAGCATGTGACATGCTTCGCTAACTCGATAAACCTTGCTGTATGATAAACCAGATTTATGGTCATTTGCAGGCTTTGTGCAGAGCTTACGCTGTCGCTTATGCAAGTAATCTGTAGTTATAAGTTGATACTTGTACGCAATCTCCATCGCCACTACGTGTGCTCACCTTTCTGGGGACGTGTGTGGCAGACTGTGCCGTAGGCCTTGATCTGGTGCACACGGCTACACCAGGAGACAGCAGGAGTTCTACACAAAACCATAAATTAGGCTTTAGTTGTGTGTAGTTTATCCCTTCTTAAAAGATTACAGTCTCATCATTCAGTTCAATTTAATACTATTTGTACAGCGCATTTTTACAACAATACATTCTCTCAAAGTGCTTTACATTATCCCTGCCCAAGTCCCCAGTGAGCAAGCCAGAGGTGACAGTGGCAAGGAAAACTCCCTAGAAGGAAGAAACCTTGGGAGGAATCAGAATCAGGGGGGGTGGTAACTTCCTATTGGTAGGAATTGTGCTAGTTTCTGTGATGTGATAGGCTGATGTGTTCAAGCAAGCAATGTTCCTTATTGACAGTTTAATAAAGTTTCTCATTTTCTCATCATTTCAATTTTATGTGATTATAAGTCGATACATTGTTTATATCACCTGGCCTTTCATTTGAGTCTTGCTCTATAATTATGAGGCTGAACCTTAGACACTCTGGTCCGAGGCCGATTCAACAGTAGAAAAGCTTTCAATTCAAAGACAAGCAGAGTAAGTGAAGAAGTGGTTTTGACACCTGACAGAGAACTACAGCTCTGCTAATGTGCTGCATAACTGTCATAAAAAAGAGGGAAATAAGGAAAAATGTAAACCTCATTGTTGGGGTAGTATACTACAGTTATGAAATTTCCTTCACGATGGATAAAGTATCTATCTATCTATCTATCTATCTATCTATCATCTATCTATCTATCACATAAACTGATTTTGAAAAACAAAGACATGTCTGGGATACAGCAATCGAAAGGGAAACAAGGTGCCATAGGCATGTCTGTAGTTGCATAGAATTCATGCCCAAAGACAGCATACTACTGCTATTACTGTCCTGCACTTACATGCACACCCAAAATTTTTATACATTTATAAACTGCACATATTGTATTTCGCGACTGAATTGTATCCGGACATTTTCCCAGTGGGCTGATGGGTTAGTGGGCTGGCAAAATTCATCGTGGAACCCTTCCGTCACCCTGGTCAGCATAATTCTTTGCGGGAGATTTCCCCCAAATTTCAGGGCCCATTTTTAATTCCAGTCCAGCCTTGTTTGTGACCATCGTCTGGCTTTGTACACATGAGAGCCACTGACAACCGCAGACAAATTCCCCATGTGTGAACATACACTATATGTACAAAAGTATTGGGACACGCCTCTTAATCATTGAATTCAGGTGTTTCATTCAGACCCACTGCCACAGGTGTATAAAACCAAGCACCTGGGTTGAGTCAGGTTTACAAACATTTGTGAAAGAATGGGTTGTGCTGAGGTGCATAGTGCATAAAGGTCACCAACACACTGTTAACCCCGGCCAAGGAACTGTGCGCTGGGAGCTTCACGGAATGGGCTTCCATGGCCGAGCAGCTGCATGCAAGCCTCACATCACCAAGCGAAATGACCCTTGAGGGTACAGTCCCAGTGACAAGCAAAGGTAGAAAGTGGTGCTCCAGTTTCTGACAGGGTAACAGTGTGTCACTTTAAACACCATGTACAGGCCTTGTCATCTCTCTTTAGTAGGATTATTGGCATTTCACCTTGTGTTTAGTTGCCCTTATGAAGATTTTTACATATAGAAAGGTCAAAAGCACTAAAACATTTTAGTGTTAAGCAAGTATGACTGAAAGGGGACAAGACCTGATGCAACTATACAAAATATAGAAGGTTGGCCCGGATGGACACTGGATTAAATAAGGCCACTGCTTATGCAGTGCAAGGCTCCTGGAGTCTATCCCAGGCTGTGTAGGGCACAGTGCAGAGATACCGTAGATGGGACGCCACTTTGTTACAAGACAAGCAAGTATCCAAGCACTATGGGTAACGCAGGAGAAAGAGCCCTGTTTGTGTGACGCTCACAAAGCCTCCACATGTTCTGGGGGTTTAGCTGAAATGGCATCTCTGCATTACCCCCAGTGAAGAGGAGAACCTGAAGATGACAGTATTTTTTTATTCATGACATAATTAACAAGGGGATTTTCAGAAAAAACAAAAACAATTCTAACTGCTTCATTTCTTTCTATTGTTAGTTAATTAAGATATACTATGAATAAAGCTTAATTTAAATTTAATGTGCAATAGTATGGGTCTCTCCTTTCAAAAGCAAATTCATGTTAAGTATCAGTTTTGAGTGAGATTTGACAGAGTTTTACAGGAAGACTATATGTCAACAAAGTCCCTATTGATTTGAAAGCCATGTTAGCATCTTTCTTGGCTTGTGTACTTGATGTAATTTTGATGGTAGGCAACCAGGTCTCAAGGTTGCTCTTTCTGAAGGGTGGGAACACTGGAGCTCCACAGTGAGCCTGGAGCCTATTGCCGGGAGCACAGGGCACAACACAGCATGGAGCCTATTCCCGGGAGCACAGGGCACAACGGCGCTTGGAGCTTATTCCCGGGAGCACAGGGCACAACACCGCATGGAGCCTATTCCCGGGAGCACAGGGCACAACACCGCATGGAGCCTATTCCCGGGAGCACAGGGCACAATGGCGCATGCTTTTGAAGGGCACAGGGCACAATGGCGCATGCTTTTGAAGGGCACAGGGCACGATGGTGCATGCTTTTGAAGGGCACAGGGCATGATGGTGCATGCTTTTGAAGAGCAGAGGGCACGACACCGTATGCTTTTGAAGATCACAGGGCACGACACCGCATGCTTTTGAAGGGCACAGGGCACGACGCCGCATGCTTTTGAAGGGCACAGGGCACGACGCCGCATGCTTTTGAAGGGCACAGGGCACGACGCCGCATGCTTTTGAAGGGCACAGGGCACGATGCCGCATGCTTTTGAAGAAGCTGCTGCACCTAGAAAACCTGAAGAAACACAAAGTGATTCTGCAAACTCAGGCACACAAGCACAGAATTCAAATCTCCAACCCTGGAGCAGTTAGTGCTCCAACCGTACGAGGAAAAAATGCCACTTACTACACTATTGTGGCAAAATATTGTGGTAATTAATA